TAACCCAAGGTCTAAAATATAAATGAACTGCAATGTAGATGACTTGAGATCTAGCAGAAAGACAGAAGGGTGGAAAGATTCCCAGAGATCCACAGGGAGAAGTCTGATTTATTTAACACAGATAAATATGACAAAAGATGTTCATATCCAAAATTTTAATAAGTTTATGCTTGACAGGAGGAACTGAAGGCAGCAGCCTTCAGTTCAGCAACTAATACAAGATGTTAACTAATAGTGTTGGAACAGGAAAAAAAAAGAGCTTCTAGCAGAAGAATTCAAGTAAAAGGTAGGAGTTTTTGGACATTTAAAATTTTTCTGTTAAGGTACTATGGGCCAATGGAGATTATGTCCTTTTGCAATGACTTATCATTTGTCCTGTGGGGTAAAATCCAAGGGAACTTCATAGACCCTCTAGTATTTAGGTTGAGTAGATAATGTTTAGATATGAAAGGTCAAAGTTGGCTATGAAAAGACAAATGAGAAAGTAAACAGAGCATGAATCAAAATTATTTTCAAATCTGCCACCATGTAAACGTCACCTTTTCTCAAGAGACAGAGAAGTTCTATTCTATAGTCAAACAAGAATTTGGGGATTGTTTTCAAAAAAACATTGTAAAGCCATTAGGTGATTCCTCATGAGTACTTTTCTGAATGTTAATATTGTTTCTTTGAGTAAAGCAATACTCTCTGTGTTTGTTAATGAGTTACCAATTTTTTTCCCATGTTGGAAGATTCAGGAAAGTTTGGTTCCATTAGGAAGGTATTCAGGTTAAGTTACTGAAGTAGGTAGATAAAACTAAGAGGAAGGAAAGGAGACAACTGGGACACAGGCTGTGGCTTAACCCTGTCACATTTGCATGTGGCTTTGGGAAAAGTTTCCTGAAAGTTTTTATAGCTAAGAGAGATTTAGAAGTATGGCATTTTACAGTTGCTGGTTTTTCTGTGCTCAGAAAAGAAGACATTAGCTTGTTAATGCTTATAAATAAATAAAACTTCATCAACATCTTATTCTTGCAAGATCACAAATATTGAGTAGGTTCTTATGGTAAACTGGTAGTTTATATCAAAACTAAATTACTTCTAAACTGCAGCAGAATATCACAATCCTTTGGTATGCAAAAGTATATTGGAAATCTTCTTCTAAAAAGTTCTTAAAGCAAGAACACTTCTTTCTTCCATCTTCTCAGCCTGGCATTGCTTTCATCAATCCGTTGGGTAAATGTAACAACTTCTGGGAAGTCTGTGTGAATCTCATGATGACAAAAGCAGAATTTAGTCAAAAACTATATGGAGCAGTAAAGATAAATCTCTTGACTATTTTCTGAGAGTCTCTCCTATTATTAATCCCTATTCTGGGACATACACAATTGTGAAGATATTAATCACAGTTTACTCTGCAGAGAAAAAGTCAATAACATGTTTAGCTCTTGATTTATGCACAAGCTTTAAGTATTTCACCTGTGTAATTCTGCACAGTCAGTAGCTTATTTCTTCTAATTAAAACTTTATTTCAGCTCTCAGTGGGCATGATTTTCCCCTTACTAACAGCAAGTTTATTAATATAACTCTCATCAATCAAATGGTAGCAGTGTCTTAATGAGAGTAATGCAGGAAAAAGTAAAATCAAAGCCATTGACTCTCTACAACAGTTTTGCCAGTCTGTTCACAGGTAAACAGTGCTTACTGAATGCTTAACAGAATGCTGGGCAGGGTAGGGTGGGAATTTTCTACTGTTTGGAGACCTGTTTTGAAGGTCCAATTGGCAAGATCATGAAAAGAAAAAGAAATCATTTGTTCAGTAAACAAAATCAGACAGTACGTCTAACTACAAGGACGAATCACCTTTGTCCCATTCATATGTACTACAAACTGAAAGCTCAACTGCACATTAACATAAAATATTCTGTTACACTCAGCATTTCATTATGTGCATCAGAGTGTACATCTTACTGAAGTAAAAAATTTATTACTGTTTTCTATCATCTCTTTGTTGTCTCTATTGTTCACCAGTCTGAAACCCAGGACAGGGCCTGGTCTAGTAGTTTGGTCTCTGTTGAACAAGTTACAGACAGGACGAGTAAAATCTGAGATTCTGGTTTGCCAGCTCAGCACAGGTCTGTTGCTTTTCACTTGTAACACAGAAATCAGATAGACTAGACTATAATATATGTAATCATCCCTGATTTGTTTCAGCACATATAAAATGAATACTAAATTTTCATAATAAGGATAGACTTAACTGCTTTGATCAAATGTATAGAACTGAGGTTGTGACCTGAAAGTAACTGAAGGCACAAAAAGAGCAGCAAGTTAAACAGTATCTAGTACCATTAAAGGAGAAAACAAAATGCATTTTGGAAAAAAAAAAAGAAAGTTATCTAGAAATTGCTAATGCTAACATCGACTACCTGTGGCTTTTTGAAAGCAATAACAATAGAATAAGAGAGGGAACTAAGGCGTGACAGACAGTAGGAATATCTCATACTTAGGATAAAGATTATTCTGAACTCCAAACAATCAGTGAAGAAGCTTCAGGTACACAAAATCATTTTACTAATTTTAACAATATAATTTTTTTATATTACACAGTCCAAGAATAAAGTACTGAGATGACTTATCCGGTCAATAAGATGAAGAAGATTGATCAGGAAACAGAGAATTTATTGAAGAATTGAATACAGTGAAATCTTCAGCAGGCAGGTAAATAAATGAAGGAACAATTAAGTGTCTATTGGAAGACCAAAGGAGAACATTCAATAGGACATAAGAGCTCTTGCTGTGATCTGCTAGCACAGTGAAAAAATGATCCCTGACAAATACAGAAAGACAGGGGGGAAGGATCTCTGGGAGACAAAGAAAACTGCTAAGAACAGACTATCTGATGGCAGCTCTCAATTTCTGTGATTTTAAATGCAAAGTAATGTCTGCTCCATGAGTCCAGTGAATCACTTAAATTGATCCAAATGCTTTCCCACAGCATTCTACGTAACTTCTCTTAACCACTGTATTTACACAGAAGAAAAACTTTTTCATTCATGTTATTTGATCACCTTAGAGTATTTTATCCCTCCATTCCCTTTATAAAACAGAACAAGTTGAACTAATTGGCATAAAAAATGAACTACAAATCTATTTCTGTTTTCTCAGATTAGTAGTAGCTCACATCCTTCTGATCAGTCAATAGATTCTGCTTGCTGATTATTGGATGTTCTGGTCTCTAAACCTTAAAGTTGTCTACAAAACTTTTTACAATGTCCTATAAACTATTCACCTTGCTGATTTTATTGCTAAGTAGTAAACACAGGTCCATGTGCTTCTGTGGAGGCTAGAACTGCAGTTCCTGTAATTGTGCTTTCTATGCATTATTTAATTTTTACTTCTGGAAAGTGTCATCGAAATATATAAAATTGCAGCTGTCTTTCCTTAAACAAAATATTCAAATGAATTAGGTATGAAAGTTCTGTCAAGTCAACAAGAAAAATCCTTTTCATCTACTGTCTGATCCCTCCTAGTCATCAAGAAGTACTTCATAAAGTAGGTTAGTGAGGAGGTTTGCCCTGCCCAGCCACCAGTGAGAGAGGTGGAATTTAACTATATTTGACAAATGAGAAGGCTAGACTCTCCTATTTATCCAAACTCTGCTCCTGAGTCAGTGCATGCAACTTTAAGGCATTTAAGGAAAACTATGAAAAATAAAAGCAAACGAACCAGAACTCTATTCCGTATCAATATCTTTACTGCAGAGAGGTGCAGAAACAAACTCTGCCACCCGCACATCAGCTTGCAGTTTTCTCATGTAATTCCTCCCAGTCAGTTCAACTACTCTTTCTATAGCCAGCACTAGACTGTGCCTAGATGGCCAGAATGAAGCACTGATGTCCTCAAGTTAATGTGGAAAGCTGACGCTAAAAGCTACTTACCTACTTAGTAAATTATGAGACGTGCACAGAATAAAGACTAAGAGAGACTTTAAATTCCTGATGGGAAAATATGATACTACAAGGGGCAGAAGTAAGCACAGCAAAACTATGAAACAGAAAACACATCTGCATGTAGGATGCTGTTAGTTAGCCTAGTTTTTTGTGATATCCAGGCTCCATTCCTTCCAGTAGACAGAAGTCTATTCATACCCTGTAGAATTATTCATACTCCACACATACAGTAACATAGAAGGCTGCATATTTGGCTACGTAAAATTCTGCCTTGTCAGCTTTTAGAAATAATCAATGAAAAAAGTGTGCATCTTGTATTTATAGGACCAGAGTGGTCAGAGGTCTTTGTGCCAAAGGCAGACCGTTTTGACTTCTAGTAAGCTCAGCAGTTTTATGTGATGTCTCTGTTAATTCCCTGCACAAGAAGAGAACAAGAAGGTTGCTGTGATATTTGCTGTACAACAGCAGAGTTCCTTCTCCAGCCTTCCCTGGCAGATGCCGTGTTTTGCTTTCCTACGTTCAGACACACAATTCATTTCACAGGCACTGAAACACCTGTTGCAACACAATTAACAACAAAGTATTAAACTAAACCAACATTTTCCCAGGATAGCTCTGCAAATCTAAAAAGTCCACACAAATATTTATAGTAAAAATCGATATTTTTTCTTTTAATGAGAGTTTCCTAATTATTGGGAATTAATAGAACCAGCCTAATTGTTAGACTACTCTCAAAAAGCGAGTACACTCCCCTTTTGAAACCAAATATTTTTGCAGAGAAATTCCAAGACAGATGGAAGAAAACAAAAAGAACCGATGCTGCCTCATACATAATGGGTGATATATTTTCTGGGTTTCTTGACAGAATATTTATACCTTCTTTTTCATCTAACAACTGTTTCATATTCTTATACCTCCTACCCAATGAAACATACAATAAAGGATTTAATGTAGTTGCAATATAAATTTTAAATTTTGTAAAATGACTGTTCTGATTTTTAGGCACATGACGCTTTTAAACAACACCAAAAAATTGAGACAAAATTTATAAAAACCCCTCACACTTACCTGACGAGATGTCTATCCGGTTCTTCTTCACTTGGGTGACATTGATGTGGACACTGACTTTGCCTTCGTTTATGTCAATTTCAACATTTCCCAGGTCATCTGCAAAGTTGCTGAAGACAAGAAGTCCATTTGGATTCCAGGTTCGGAAAAGGAAACTGACTGAAAACAGATCCTGGCTGGGACGACCAGGAACTTCGAGGTAACTGGTGGCATTGAAAAAGACGGGCACTGTATGTGGCTCCACGCAAGAAAAACTTAAATTTCCCTAAGTAAAACACAAAGAGAGAAGCAAAAAATATAAGCCAAATTGTAAGATTCCACTAAATTCAT